AAATTCTTGTCTTTTATTTTTCTAAAGAGTTTTTGCTTTTTTTCTAAAATAAAAGCATTAAATGACTGAGCATTGAACAAGTTAGGTTTCCTGTGTTGACTGTAAGCCATAATTTCTTGCACAATTCATTTGATTAAAAAACAACGAACTCATTCTTGTTTCTCATATTTCATCAAGAGACGTAATATACGACTACTGTAGGTAACATTTATGCCTGACGCCTATATAGGTGTCATTTTTTATTGATTAATAAAGATATTGAATTTTCATAAAAAAAGAGTATTGTCATATGAATAACTTATTTTTTATTTGTTGAATATCATTGTAGAAGTTATATTAAATTCTACAAAGTATTATAGAGTTTTATTTTTCGAATATTTTACTTATCATTTTGGTTTCAAATGAAATGAATTTATTCTTATTATTGACTTTGATTAATTTAATGTTTTAATTTTTTTTCTCTTAGATGAAAATCTATTTGTTAAAAATAAATGATATAATTAGATAATAATTCAAATGAATTCATCATTATCATTATCAACTATTGCAACAACAACAATTGACAATAACAATGATGTTAATGGAAGTCTTGCTGATGATTGGGAAAATTATAAAGCATATACAAGATTCTATTATATAACAGATGAAGTCTTTCTATATGCTAATCCAATATTGATCATTGTCGGTGAGTACTTCAATTTATAATGAATATATTATATTTTAAATTCAATTTTAACATAAGAATATATTAGATTTTTTAAGTTTATTAGATAATTTAATTTTTCAAATAAAAAGAAAAAAAAACTGAATTTGTTTTTTTTTTTTCATTATTTCAAAATAGGTATTCCAACTCATGCATTATCTATGATAATCTTTCTTCGTAAACGTATGCGTCGTTATCCTGTATCAGTATTTATGGCAATGTTATCTTTAACAAATATTCTTATCCTTGCCGGTCCTGTAACTATGCAATGGCTTAATCATAAAGTTTTCATTGGTTTTGTTGTAACAGGTTCACGTTTTTTATGTGCATTTCATGTTTATATTGATTTAGTTGGTTCATCAATTAATTCTTGGCTTATATTAATGATTGCTGTTGAACGTTATTTATCAGTAACAAAACCATTTTTAATTCGAACAAGTTTTAATCGACAACAAGCATGGATTATTGTTTTTAGCGTTTTTTTAGTAGCTATTATTGCACCACTTGGTCTTGCTATAGTTGCATCTAAAGTTGAAGATTGTCTTTTATTTTTTTCTAAAACATATCAAATAATTGGTTCAATACAAATTTTTTTTATATATGTTTTACCATCAATATTAATATTAACATTAAGTATAATAACAGTACATAAACTACGTAATCGTATACGTACAAGTGGTTCAAGACGTATTCATATAAGTGTTATGTTAATAGCTGTTTCATTTTCGTTTATAACATTTACAATGCCATATCAAATATGTTGGTATTGGTTATTTTCAACAGCAATTGGTAGTGTAAAATTAAATCTTAAAGTCAATATAATTAATATAGGTTTTCGTTATATTGCATTAACAATAAGAAATTTAAATTATACATTAAATTTTTTTCTTTATTCTCTAACATCAATTGTTTTTCTTAAAGAAGCATTTACAATAGCACATTGTAATTATTTTCTTAATCAAACATTTGTTGGACGAAATCGTGCGTTTCGTCGTGCACGTTGTCTTCTTTCTGAACATCCCGGTGTAGAACGTGTACAACAAGAACAACAACAAACAAATGCACTTATTAATCATTCAAATATAAATAATGAACAACATAATAATTATCATAGTTTTAAAAAACAATTTCGTGTAAAACGAACGAAAAAAAATCATTCAAATTTATCTGATAATGATAATAGAAAACCCATAGATGGATTTTCAAATGGACATTTAAATATAAATGCAAATACAACAAATGTATCATTTAATTTAAAACAAATTAAACCAATATCGATTGAAAAAAAATTAAAATGGAATTTAAAAGTAAATCATCATAGATCTCTTCCATCTAAACATTTAAATTATTTAAAATCTAATATTGATGAAGAACCAGAACAACAACAACAAGAACAACAACAATTATCATCAAATTATACTTCAACGTCCAATGTACATGATTTTATTATTAAAACGCAACAATGAATCTTCTGTCTTTTTTCTTTCGTTCTTTTATTATCATATATTTATTGTTGTATGTCTGTTGGTGTTTGTTTATATATTTTTTTTTTCTTTCTTTTTTTTTGGCCTTGATACAAAATGAAATTAAGAATTGTTTATAGTTAATCTATTTAAAATCGAGAAATAAGCACCATGAAAAATACACAAAAAACACAAATTATTTTATAGAAAAAAAAAAAAGGGGTACTTAATATTTATTTAAGATTATCTCCGGAAGAAAGTAATGAATGCGATAAAAATATTGTTCTTTAAAGCTGTAGAAGGATGATTAATAAATGAAAAACAAATTCTTCTCTTTATGAGAATATTTTTAGTTTTATTGTGTTTGACTTAAAAATTTCTTCAAATTAAATAATAATAAACTATTTTTATTTCATAATTATTTGTTACGTCAATACAGTTATTAGTAAATTGTCATTGAACCGACTCACCTTTGCTATTTTCATCATAATATTTCCAAGAAAATCATCGATAATATACTATTTACTTTAGTAAAATATTTAATAATCTTATGTCATGAAAAAATATTTAAATATGTGGACTATTCTTTTTAATATAATTTGTAGAACAGTGTGTTTTAATGTAAGAAAATGACCTTAATTATGTTGGCTATTTTAGATAAGAAAAATTTTCTTCTTCTTCTTCGTATTGAATTATTTTGTTGTTTTTTTTGTCATAAACTATCATCAGACGAATACATCCTTGCAACCTAATTAGTTTTTTCAGTCCCTGAGTGACTCAATCTTCATAGTTGACTGTTGTTTAATCTTTTCTGCATCAATAATTTTTTTTTGTCAAATAATGAAGGAATGCATGTTAATAAACCGCTATTTATAGTTCTCAGAATTCAAGATCATATAATTATCAATCACAAGAAGAAAAAAAAAGTCATTGACCATCGAATATAAATTGAATGAAGGATAACAGTTTTTATTAAATTTATAGAGCCAATAATATTTTGTTTTTATGTCTGAAGAAGAAATAATGCTTTATTATTTCGAACAGGAAACAACGAAGGACGAGATTTTTCTATATTATTGAGCAAGTCAAAGAGACAACATATAATATTGACAAGACTAGGTGCAAGACAAATAACCTTCGAGAAAAACACATAATCAAACATCAAAAAAAAAAAAAAAAAGATATTATTCTTGCACTTTGATCAATAATTTAGATGTGAAAGAAGAACTCTCAGTTCATATTAAATGAAAGAGAATCATTTACTAGCAATGTTTATATTATAGCAATGATCTATGCAAATGTAATTGAGTTAAATAGAACTAAAGAGACGTCATTTTGCTTCAGTTATTGTATTTAAATAAAATATATCATAACTTGAAATAAGAAAACGAAATATATATATATTATTAAATATAAAACTGTTTATTAGAAAGAATAAATTTTGCCATGTGGTTAAATTTAGTTTTAATCAAGAGAAAATATTTATTTAGTTATTTTTTTTTTTCTTATCAAAAAATCAACTTTGTACTAGATATAGAATTTTTATTATCAATTATTAATGACGTATTCTATACTGTATGTTTAATCTAAAGAATTTTTAGTCGAATGATCATAGAAATATACACTTCATTTATTCATATATATATATATATATTAATAGGAATATATTGACAAACACAAATCTATTTATAGATTATTATGAAGATGAATATAAGATTACAACTTAACAAAATCATGACAATCAGCTTAGAATGCAAAAAAAAATGAGAAAAGAGCTAGTGACTTTTGATCCTAATTAATCATGAATTGCGTTCTAAAAACTAAATATAATATATTGTATGCTTGTCATTTGAGAAAAGGTCAAAAACGAGATTACTAAATCAACAAAATAGAAAACTTCATTGTAAAGATTAATAATCTAGTCAATATTTTCTTGTTTTTAGTGATGTTTTTTTAAACTAAAGTTTTTTCTTTAATCATATTTTATTATGAAGTATGCTACATTATTGGCTACGAAATCTCTATAATCAAAACTACTGTGCTGATTTATTTGATGTAAGTGCAACAATCCATGAATACAATATTATATGTACCTAATAACTTTATAAAAGCTCGTTATTATAAAATTACGCATCATTCAACATATTTGTATTTTGTATTTTGAATATATATATATTCTTTTATCTTTACATTTACCTATGAATTTCTTAGTTTCATATTAGCTATAATAACGTTTTCAAATATTACGTTTATGTAAAAATACTAAAGTATTAGATCAAGTGAAACCGTGTTAATGTGAAACATGTCAAACGGAACAAGAAATAAGCAGAATAATAATATAAAAAGCATTTATAAGAAAAGTTTCTTTTTATCGACATTATCAATGAATTCAAAAGTGAAAAAATTATGATGACTTTTATGAATTTCATATCAAAAATAGGAGAAAAAAAGGCATTTCTGATGATGAAATAGATATAGAAATAAATGTATTTCGATATTATTGATTAAAATAAAAATTTTAATCAAGAAAATGCAATGAGAATGTGATTTTTTTTTTCTAAATTAAAATCATAGAATTGAATTGATGAAAGTGTTGTTCTTTTGAATTCATTACTTAGAAATACATGAATTTTTATGTCCATTTCATTACTTTAATAGATTTTTTTTAATTTTCAATTTCCTAATTTGATTTGATAGAATTCATATTTATTTCTTTTTTCATTCTGTAATCGTGAGTCAGATCAAATTGACGTGGCAAAAGCCTCTTATCGGTGTTGCAATGACAATAAGAACAAGGATTGAAAAACTTGATAAGCGATTATATCAGTATAGCAATGGCAACAGGAAAAAATATAAAAAAAATTGATGTACAATTACCAAATGAGGAAGATTCGGGAAAACTAGCATTTATTTTATTAAATGTTTTCACAAAAGAAGAATGTTCTGAATGGATTAAATTAACAGAAGAACGTGGTTATACTTCAGCATTAGTTAATATTGGTTTACGTGAAATTTTAATGACAGATGTTCGAAATAATGATCGATGTATTATTGATGATGTTAATATGGCAAATATATTATTTGAACGTATTGAACCATATTTACCAAAAATATGGAAGGATTATAAATTAGTTGGACTTAATGAACGTCTTCGTTTTCTTCGTTATGATCGTGGACAACAATTTAAAGGACATATGAGTATATAAATATTTCCTATTCTTTGTTTTTATTGAATAGTTGTTCTATGATTTAAATAGATGGTGTTTATCAACGCTCAGACGGATCTGGTGAAATAAGTTGTATTGTTAGTTATTTTGATTTACTTGAATTTTGTAATATGCTTCTTTTTTAAATTTTGTTTTAGACAATACAACTTTATTTAAATGATAATTATAAAGGTGGAGAAACGACATTTATTAGTTATTGTGATAAAAAAAAAAAAAAAAATTTTCATGTAAACCACGTACAGGAATGGTATTAGTGTTCGAACATCGACTTTTTCATGAAGGTTCATTATTGAAAAAAGGTCGAAAATATACAGTTCGTACTGATGTTATGTATCGACCATAGAAGAAAAATAATTTTCTTTAAAACAAACAATTAAAAAAAAATATACATTATTCGATTTTAATCATAACTATATCAGTAAACATTATTGTTATGTTAACCTTTCTTCTAGTAACATATCTGTATTTATTCTTTATGTTTTCTATTTCAAACTTATCATTAATAACGAGATGTTCTATCATGAAATGCAGAAGAACATGGTAACCGATATTTTCTAAAGAGAAAACTACTTTACCGAATATAATCGAACATTCTCAGTTCTGGATTTTTCATTCAAGAAAATATCAATTACATTTAGAATCTAACATCGAATTTTGATATCCAATGCCATCGGAATCGAATTAATGGTGAAGAATTTTTCCAAGTCAATGTCAGAGTGATGTCAGTAAAACAGTCATGTATTTTTACTCTGACATTGTAACAAAATTATTCTTTATATAATAAGTAATGAACGGAAATGCATTAGTTTATAGATTCATATATAAGTATCAAAACAAGAAAACATCAGAATCACATCCTCATTAACACACAGTACAAAACGTAGTATATATGCTAGTTAAAAGAAAAATTTCTGAGTTCTTCGGAGTCGAATTTCCGAATCAAAAAGTTTGACTTCATAGTGCGCTCTAGTTACAATATTTTTCTTCTTTTACGATGTAATAACTGTTATAGATATATTGGGAATAAATGAATGACATTTCGATAATCACAATATAAATTTAACGTAAAGAAAAAACTTAATATTTTCAAAATTGTATAAAATATGAAATCTGATACATTTTATCACAATATGATATCGAATAGTCGAGTATAGTAAAGATATCATCAATGAATTCACAAAAATATTACGAAAAATAATAAAATCAATGGAAATCTTGTAGAACATTCTTCAATTAGTTATTAATTAATCAAATACGAAGTACTCTTTCAACAGATGAACATCTTACAAATGTTAGATGTCTATGAACTAAAATAATACATTTGAAAATCATCTAAAATTCAGTAATAAACACTATTTTCAGTTTCTTATTCGGTACACATTTATGCTTGTTAAAATCTGTACAAGTTTCCTACAGAAAGTTTTTTTTTTACATGTTGCTCTGTTTCAGAGTAAAATACTAAACACGCAGCTCTACTAAAAGGAAATCTCATTGTTCGAAGTTTCATAACAACTAGTACTTTCTAAATAATTCAACTAAATTTCCTTGCTAAGAGTAGACCTACATAGCCTTAATCTATAAAAAAAGTTGCAAATAATTTACTTTTGCAATAGACGAGAAATAGATACTACAATATTTAAAAAAAAAAATGAAACTTGGTAACGCTTAGTCACGTAATATAACAACCTTGTTTATTGTTAAAAGCTAAAGTTACATTCGCAATTAAGTTGTATGAATCATATACTTCAAGGAAAAAGATGAGTAATGACAAAAAAAAAACTAACTTCGCAAAATACAATAAAATTCCACAATTTACTAGAAGAAAAATGTTGTGATAGTTTTGATATTTACTTCAAAGCCTTATAGAAACTTTGAAGGAAGAATTTATAATTAGTTCGTCGCAAAATATTTCTCATTTCACTTGTTCTTTTAAAATGAACACTTTCAAAAAGTCACGATTGAGAACGAACGACATCTAGAATAAGCATTTATTAAAAAGGTTATTTAACATAATTTATTTTCCTTTTTATGTCTTAGATTTTTTCAATAACATTTTATATTGGATAATTTTTAGGATTTTTTTGTTTTTTGCAATGTTTACTGATTTGTTGTCAATGATTCAATTTATCATCAATCATTTTGATTCGTTCTTTATTCAAACAAAAGTTTATCTATATTTATCATGTGATATTTCCCTTGGTCTATACTTTCTTTTCTTTCTCAACCTTCGTTTCGTCAATAAAATCTGACGAAAGAAGTTTCTATCAGAGAAAGAAAGATTATTGAAGAATTTTTTTGTGTTTGGTATATTATTTCTTCGTTATTATTTCTATTAGTCGATCAATATGATTCATCGATTATTTGTTTTGTTTTTTCTTCCTAGATTGCCGTCATTATTTTTTGTATAAAAACAAACTATTTCTTAGGAAGTTTTATTTCAAATTTAGTATATATTAAAAAATGAAATTTCGATTCAAAGAAGAAACTCCTGCTGGTATGTTATCTGTTAATAATATTTATATAAATTCATATATAATTAATAGAACAACGAAGACAAGAAGCAGAAAAAATTCGTCTTAAATACCCAGAACGAATTCCAGTAATATAAAAACAAACATTTGATTATTTTGAAAAAAAAAAAAAAACTTAAATTTTAGGTTGTTGTTGAACGGGTACCTAAATCACAAATACCTGATATTGATAAACGTAAATTTTTGGTACCAAATGATATAACAATTGCACAATTTATGTGGATTATTCGTAAACGTATTCAATTAGCCCCAGAAAAAGCAATTTTTCTTTTTGTTAATAAAACAATACCCGTATCAAGGTATGTATATGTCAAAAAACAAAAAAAATAGAATAAAAAATAGTTCAATTTATTATTTTCTTAAAATTTATATTTAGTGCAACAATGGGTGAAATTTATGCTGAATATAAAGATGAAGATAGCTTTTTATACATTGCGTATGGCGGTGAAAATACATTTGGTTAAAAACCAAAAAATTTTACTAAAAACATTTAATTATATATGATTAATGACTTTTACTTAATCAAGAATATTTAATTCTGTATATTCTTTTTTTTTTTTTCTGCGTGTTTGTATATCTATGTGTGTGTGTCTATTGATTTAATCTATCATTTAAAAATCCTTAATTATTCTCAAAAATTTATCTATGAATAGAAGAAAAAATAGAAAAGAGATTTTTTTTTGTTCTTCTAGAAGATTTGTTATTTATAAGAAATATTAATAATGACAAGTAACAATGATAGTTTAATACCAATAATTGAAAAAATTTGTACTATAAGTACAATTGGATTGTTTTTAACTGGAATGTAAGATTGAAAATTTTTTTTATAGAATAATTTATTATTTTACTATATAGACAAATATGTAATCGAATTTATCGTATGCGTTCAACAGGTGATATATCAGGTTTTCCATTTGTAGCCATATTAGTTAAGTAAGTGTTTTATTTTTATGTGTAATTAGAAATTTATGAAAATATTTTCAATTTATCTAGTTGTACTCTTTGGACATTATATGGTTATTTAGCTAATAATTCAACACTTATTGTTGTTAATTTTATAGGAGCTACTTTACAAACGATTTATACTTTGTTTTACCTTCAATATACATCAGATCGTGTAAAAAAAAAAAACATGATTTATCGAGAATATAGTTTTTGTGATTTTTCTTTCTATTTAGACTTCATATATTCGTTTAATTGGATCGGCTGTTTTATTTCTTGCCGTAGTTATTTGTTATTTTCAATATTTTGTATCTGATCCTAATGTAGCAGTTTTTTATGCTGGTCTCGTTGCATGTGTTACTACTGTGATTATGTTTGGTTCACCATTAGCTTCTCTTGTGTGTATAGTAATAATATTAAAAATTGATTGAATTTAATCTTAATTTTTAGCAAGAAGTTGTTCAAAAGCAAAGTACTGAATCACTTTCATTACCATTATGTTTTGCCAATCTTATTGTACCTATTGAATGGGTTCTCTATGGTATTTTAATTGGTGATAAATTTGTTCAAGTATGTTTAAAAATTTCATAATAAAGAAAAAATTCTAAGATTTATATATTTCAGATACCTAATTTTCTTGGTGCCATATTGGGTTTTATTCAAGTATATCTTTTTTATAAATATCCTCGTCGATCTGGTTTAATACCAAAAGCAACAAATCTTGGAGTAATTTAAATAAATCAACAGAAAAAAACAAGTATAGAATCCAGTAGTTATATATATATATATGAATCTCCTTATATGTGATACGATATCATTTTTTGTTATATTCATGCTTTATGTTCGTGGACACATTTGGTTGCTGGTATTTTTCGTTGTACCTCGAATTAATAAATACTAATCGTAGAAAGAATGGTTTCTTTTATTGTTTATAATTATTGTCTTGCGTTTTTTTTTTAATAATCTGTAATTAGAAATTAATAAATTAGAGTAACTCAATAGAGAATAATTAACAATAAAAAAAAAGAGAAAACAAAGGATATTTATTACTTCTATTTTGATATTATTTCAATACAATTAGTCTCAATGATGATTGACACGATGCCAAGCATCTGCTCGATTATATTATATGAAGACAGCTAAGCTGTCAGGGGCCATCTGAGAGACATTAGTGTTGTTTGATATATTATGTGAAGAAAACAAAAAAAAAAAAAACTTGTCAATTTATGCAGTTACATAGTTCTAGTTTTTATAGATGACTTCTAATTTATCTGCTTTATTTAACAATGCAAAAAAAGTAACACTTGTAAGTGTTCCAGTAAAAGAAGAATCAGAAAATGAAACAGTTGAAGAAGAAATAATCGAAATACAAAAAAAGACAACGAAGTAAGATAAGTTTTCTTTTTTTATTATCACGAATGTGTTAACTCAAATTATTTTACAGACAAGAACGTGAATATGAAGATTCATCTATAGTTAATGCTCAAACAGTATTTGTTGGTAATGTACCAATTGGTTGTTCTCAAAAAGTAATTATGAAAAAATTTATATTTCAATTTATTTTTTTTTATTCATTGAAATAGGAACTTAAAAAATTATTTTCTCAATTTGGTACAGTCAAATCGATACGACTTCGAAATCTCGTATGTAAATTCTATTCGATAGTGATTATTTTTTTGTTTTATCTACAAAATATATTTTAGATTCCATTAAATCCAAAACGAGGCAAACGTCTTGCATTTATTAAGTTAGTTAATTAGAATTATTTTCATTCGTATCATGTTAACATGTGTTTTAGAAAAGAATTTCATCCTTTACAAAAAACAATAAATGCTTATGTTCGATTTACTGATGAGACTGAAGCAAAAAA